TCTCTGAGCAACATGACGTTGTTTTGTTTCTGAATGAATCAACCGCGTAAATGATTCGGTTCAGTCGCAGTGACTTACTGCCACCTACTGGCGGTTTTAATTTCACATTTAAAGTATCTTTTCATTTTTTTTAATAATTTCAAATATCAGTATTCAACATTTCATGTTTTAAATATCAAAACATTATTTATACATTTGTAACTGCAGTTTAAAGTATTCCATGTCCCTCTAAGCTGCATTAACATTCATATGCAACTTCTGCAAAGATTAATTTTATTGATACTGATTTAATTTGTTTAGTAACAGCCTAAATGTATTATTATTACAATTGACTGATTAAATGTAAGAATTTGACTCAAAAGATAATGTACACTTTTAGAAAAAAATGGCTTTATAAAGGTAAGAATGCCCATAAAAGGTACAAATCTATTTAAAAATATTGGAAAAGATTAATATCTATCACTGCTGTGAACTGAATATGAAGAATATCAAAAACTTTAGGAGTCAGCTGTCTACAGTAGTCCTTAAGATATCTGCACAATAACACACTCAGCAAAATATCGTCTAATTATCTTTATCGATAAAATCACAGAAAATATTGAGATATTATTTTTTGTCAATATTTCACACCCCTAGTTCATACCATTTTCACGTAGTAAATATTTTAAAGACGTGTTTTTTAAAACTACCCATTAAGTTCTATTGATTTACTTTTTATACGTTTGATTCATCCGTGGACAGATATGTAACTCCCTCAAAATATAATATATTGACAAAAAAAATTTTTGGCATGATTTTTTACTTGTTTAACAGTAAAAAAGAAACATATTACTTTGTGATTGAATCATTCATGCATCAGAGGGATATAGATACACTGTAAACAGAAATGCAAGGGAGTAAAAAAATAAAGTCAAAACACAGAGTTTTGATTAATAAGTGAACAAATGATGTGTAAGTGTTTTCAGACATGATCACTGTGTGTAGGTCATCATCAGTAAATGAGTGCGGCATTTAAATGTCAGTGTTTCCCAAATTAAACAAAAGAGCTGTTAGTTTCGAATGATGTGTGTAATGTAGAGAACGGTGTTTAGAGTTTTGCAAAAAGTTTGTTTTACAATATCTTTTATATTGTTTAAATATGCTATGTGCTTGTAGTTTTGCAGACTTGGTCTAAAGATTAGGTTTATGAGTGAATGGTTCCACTAAGTGGGCCTCAACTATCACTTTTAGTGTCTAAGCACTTTTAAAAAACTGTAATTGTGTGAAATGATTAATATAATCTACAATAATTTGTTTATTCATTTGATTTCACTCTAAATGTTTTGTCAGACTGAATGAGATTTCGCAGGATGCAGAGAAGCTGGATGAGCCGTGGACAAGAGAAAAAAATGATTTGAGTCACAGAAAGAAATATTTCAAAGAAGTGATTATTTGAATTGATTTGAATTTTACTTGCTATTTAAATGATTATTATTATTCTCTTAAAAATAAGTTTTTTCCTATCAATCAATCTCTGTCTTTTAAAATATCTTATTTTATACGGCACTTTAAAATCAATGAAAAAGTAGATTTAAACAGTCAGTTTGCATTTGCAGTGATTGAATGTATAAAAGGAAAACCTATAATAATCGGACCCTTTAAGCCAAAAACCATTGGTAAGACTGGAAAATATCCTGATATACATCACAGCGAATATCAATGCATACATAATTTAAAACAAAAAATTAAGTATATGAAGAATAAGAAGAGAAAGATAAAAACTATTTATATGTTTACAAAATATAGTCCCTGTTTAGGCATAAAAGGAAATTTATGTCCTTGTATGACCCAGCTAGCTAATTTCTCTGAAGAAATGTATAATACATTTAATATAGATATTTACATTGCCTTCCAGGACATTTATGGTGCAACAGGTAGTATAGCACAAACAATAAACAAACTGGTAAAACCCCCAAAGAAACGGAGTAATGATGATAAAGATTCTCTTGATAAAATATTGAGATTAATAAAAAAAGTTACCCAACAATACCCTAGATCAAAATTTAAATGTTTCCTGGGAGATAAAGAGCAAGAAATGATCAAAAGATACATCATAACAGAAATTAAGAAAATAATTCCAGATATAGATATTAAGTTAAAAATTGAATTTCCCAGTAATCCAAGTTTATTACAGGAGTTTAAGAGCTTCGGAGAAAAACAGACTGATAATATAAAGATACAACTAAAAAAACACAATGTTAATGAGGATATTACTGAAAATATGTGTTCACTTTTTCATTCTAAGTGGTGTGAACTAGTTGATGAAGAATATAAAGAGTTTATATATGAAAAGGTCAGTGATTACTTAAATACATTTGCTGTTGCATTCGCTTATAAAGACAGAAAAGCCATCACAAACTATTTTAAACTCGAAAGAGTGAATTTATCATTGCATGTGATGTGTTAATGAATAGATATAATTTTTCTGCATTTTTAAAATCAACACATCTCTGTTTTGGGTTAGGGTTTTCAGTGTGTAATGTTGTGTTGTGTAAAGGCTCTGTAGTGTCTCATTGATTTGTGTTTGTGAGTATTTCTCTGTTATCGTCTCCATAAATCCATCTGAGAGATGATGAGATGTTTCCATCTACAGATTCCAGACACTGTCAGAATGCTGATTCTCCATCTTAACACCTGTTAAAACACCTGTTCAATGCCAACAAACACACAACTAGCCTACATCTATTCAATAAATCTATTTTTGCCTTCACTTTGTTTCCTGCTTTCTGTTCTTGGTTGTAGGAGAGTGAATCTCTAGCAGAGAATAGAGTTGACTTTAAAGGAGTCATGAACTGAGAAACCAAAATTCCCTTGATCTTTTGACATAAGAGGTCATTGTACTATAAAATCATCTGTAAGTTTCAGAACTCAACACATTGTCATTAGTCTAAAAACAGCTTATATTGAAGTAGGTCTGTCACGATTCCTCGATTCAACTTGAGTACTCGATTTTAAAAAATCCTCAATTTTATTTTGCCCATTTCGAGTAATCGGCTATGAAACGCATTATTAGACCGCTTTCCAAGGCTGCATGATATTAAACCCATTTAAAAATCATAATAAAGCATAATGCTATTGTGAATTCACAAACACTACGATTCAATTAAATAAATATATGCGATTCAGGTTGATAATATATGCGCTTTAATTATTTGCATGCGTGTAGGTTACGTGTGTCTCAGAGCGGCTCCGTTCACAGTAAACGCTGCTCCGCACAAACGTGTGGCAACATCATTTACACGTGTGGAGCGTCTCAAACTCATCTCTGCATGTTGCTGTGAGTTTGGGTTTATTATAACATTCATCTGGGAACGCAACATGCGCCATTTCATCAGATTTGTTAAGTAAATCATTTAGAAACCTACGCAAACACAGGAGAATACATTATATATTTCTCAATATGTTAACTGTTCATCACGATTTCAAAATAAAAGCTCAAACCCTCGCTCTGAGTTTACACGTTTGCATGTCCACATATTCAAGAAATTACAGTGGCTATAGCATTTCTGTTGTAAATGGCCAAATATTACAGATTAAGTCGCCATTTGGATTAAATGATGTTTGGTCAATATTAAACAAGGATTAGATCACGCAGTAAAGTGTAACACAATCGTCAGGCCGTTGGCACCCCCTGCAGGCCTTTGTCGTAATGCGTAATGTACGTTAGCTCTATTGTTTATAATAGGCTGCATTATGTATTTTAACAGTTTTATTCAATGAAACCATATGATTACTTGCTTTTGATACTTTATTTTAATTAATTATTATTGCTTCATTGCTATATGTATTTTAAGTCATTTTAAAGGCTATTGTTCGCTTACGTCTTTTTTTATTATCACAACAAATTAATTATATTATATTATAGGGCCCTATGAAATCCATTTTCAGTTTTATTTTTTTCCAAATTCAGTTTTTTCAGTTTACATTTTTTTTAAGTTTTAATGGTTAAATTAAATTTTATTAATAAAAAACATGTCTAATTAATTTACTTCTACAGTTTTATTTTTTACCAAATTCTGTTTTCCATTACTTTTCTGGATTCCATTTTAATGGTTCCATTAAATTTTAACAATCAAAAATTTTTTATTTTTTTTTTCAGAAATAATGTGTATTTACATTTTTCTCCTAAATAAATTCTGGTTAATAATATTTCTGGTAAATATAATAATGTTTTGATTATAATTGTATTAGTAGTAGTAGCAGGGCCGGTTCTAGACATTTGGAGGCCCTATAGGCAAAATTCATTTTGGAGGCCCCCCACCCTCAATAAAAAGCACTTGAAACAAATATGATTCCTAACCTTTTTATTCATACAACATTTCATTTAAAAATGTTTATATTTTTACTTATACAGTACCGGTCAAAAGTTTGGACACATTACTATTTTTAATATTTTTGAAAGAAGTCAAAATCAGAAATACAGTAATATTGTGAAATATTATCACAATTTAAAGTAACTGTTTTCTATGTGAATATCTATTACAATGTAATTTATTTCTGTGATCAAAGCTGAATTTTCAGCATCATTACTCCAGTCTTCAGTGTCACATGATCCTGAAATTTGCAGATGACACTACCATCATCGGTCTCATCAAGAATGAAGACGAGTCTGCTTACAGACAGGAGGTCGAGTGAGGAAAAGGGCTAAGAAAATCACTCTGAACCCCTCACACCCAGCCCACTCTCTCTTCGAACTGTTGCCTTCTGGTCGTCTGGTCGGCGCTAAAGAGCACTGAGCACCAGAACAGCCAGGCACAGGAACAGTTTTTCTCGCAGGCTAGATTCAGCCTGAACAATTAAAACATTCATAAATATACATTGTCCATCATAACTGACATATTTATACATAGAATCTGAAATTTGTACATTTGTAAACTGCACACTTGTAAATAACATATCTGTACATTAATTTAAACAATTACATGTTTTTTTCTATACTTCTACTTCTGTATATAGTACATTATTTAATTTCTGTTTTTTTTCTTATATTAGTGTTATATTCCATCCCTACTGTGTAATTCTATGTATGTCTGCACTATGTCTGTACTTTCTTCTGCACTGGAAGCTTATGTCGTCAAGTCAGAATCCTTGTGTGTGTAAACATACTTGGTAATAAAGCTCTTTCTGACTTCAGAAGTCATTCTAATATGCTGACTTATTATCAATGTTGGAAACAGTTGTGCTGCTGAATCTTTATTTTTTAACCTGTGATACTTTTTTCAGGATTTTTTGATGATTAAAAAGTTGTTTAAAAATAAGAAAATAGAAATCATTTACAACAATATACTGTATATATATATATATATATAAACACTGTCCTTGTTATGTCAATTCATATGTAAAGAATCAATAAACCCTATAATCACATCTTTTCCCCATACGCAGTTGCAATAAATAAATACTGCCCTTACCTCTTATGATGGAAGAGAAGAGTAATAGAATTTCCAGGCTTCTCAGCACGTTGTCCTGATCAGCTCAGCGGAGGTTCGGACCTCTATGTGGCTCGTATGAAGATTTATAAATAAATCCAGATAATAGCTTACTTTTAATAAATTACTCAGAGACTTGTTTAAAAGAAAGTTTATCGAATCACCATAGAAAAATGGTTTCGCTTTATTAAAAACAATAACTCATAAGCAAATAGTGTAAAAAATAACAGCGAGAAGTCTTCACCCCGAAATACAGCAAAAGCAAATCTGATAACACACTTGATTATATAGGAGAGGGCGTATACAATATTTCTCCTTCGCAAAAGCATTCACTAAACCATCTCTATTGGTCATATGCAAGTGACATTTAACATTTGGTCACACCCCACTCCTCAGCGGGTCGTAATACCATTACATAATATCAAGCCGAGTATACACACACACACCTCTAAAAATATATATGTGAGGAGGTTCAATCTACGCTATATTTTCTAAACGATAACACAGGATGTCTGACCTTTTGTCCTAACCACAGCTAAACATTTTCCTATTTACACAATAGCAACACCTTTCCAATACTGGCGTTTAGGTTTTCACACTTCAGCATTTTCCATTCAACAGTTGCTAACCCAGATAACAACACCCGCCTCGCTCTGACAGGATGTCAGTTAACTGTTTATTCTTGTTTATTCTTTGGAGGCGGCGCTGACTCTTTGAAGCTTCAAACAGTCAACCTCGCCTCTCAAAGATTCCATTTTCAAATTAAATTAATTCATTTCAATAAATTGTTTAACCCTTTTCATTAACCGTTTATTCGGCCATTCATGTTGTCGTATTGCCCGAAGAAGCTCTTTAGCCATGAAGATGAGTTCCACTGTCTTCTGTCTCCCGTCTTCTCCTTTTCTTCTCCAACTTGCTTTTCTTTTTAACGTCTCTGTGATGTCTCCGCTGGAT